TTAACGATTAATAACAACAAAATAGATCCTTGACGTATTACAGTTTCACGCTTACGATTTCCCTTCATTTCCATAACAAATAAGGACATTTATTATTTCAGTAGAGTTTATTTTAAGAAAATTTGGGCAAAGTATAAGTATTTTTGATATTACTTGTATGTTTAAAGTTATGATTGTTCTTGTCATTACCCTTCAATTTTAAATTGCTCATTCTCATAATCTAATCTGAAATTATCAAAATCTAGCTTTATGTAGAGAAAGAAGGATTTTATTTCTCTTGGTAATGAAATTGTTTGGCGCCACGCCTTCAGACGTACGATACTTCTTTAATGTTCCGACATGTAGTGTTTTCTAGCATAGTATAAAAAGTATAAAATGTTGGTCCCTTTACAGTATTTTTCTCCCTTATTATGTGGTTTGGGGTGAGACATCCACACACAAAATGGTGTCCCAGTGAGGTTGCCAAGATTGCAGCAGAAATAAATTATGTTTTTGAGGGAAATTGCCATATTTAATAAATTTTGTAACTATAACTCCCTTAACCTTTAAAGTGCTAGTTTAAATCTGTGTATCCCCAACTGGCCCAATTTAAAACCAACAGTGTTATGCTATGCTGTGCATGTATTTTGATAAAACAGTGTACATTTCTTAAAAACCCACACAGAACAGTGAAGTAAAATACACATTGATCAGGAAATTGTACTTTGTAACTTAGAACATTTCTCAAGATATTGTTCACAAGAATTCTTATAATTGGAAGGAATGTTACACGTATATTATGCTATTATTAGATTCATATTCTGAAAAAAATATTGTGAATTTATTGATGTGTTTAGTGGGAAATGTGAACGTACTGTGTAAACTTCTCTTCTCCTATGTTGTTTTGATAGATGGAACCTGAAACATCTTTGTGGAAGCGACGAGCATGGGGCATGTTATACCACACGTTAGGTTAGGTTAGGTGTATATACACTTGTTGCTTTTAAGAAGTATCAAGTTTTAAGTCACAATACCAATTTCAAGTGATTATTATTATTATTATTCAGTGTGCTGTCTTACGACAGGTCCATTGCTCTTCCCAAAAAGAGCTCTCCAGTTGTCCCTATTCTCGGCTTTTCGCTTTAATTCCTGGAACGTCATCTTTTTTCCTTGTTTAAGGTCGTCGGTTGGCTGTATCAGTCTTCTTCCCAGCCCTCGCTTTCCTTCAACCTGGCCTTCGATGATGTCACTCAGTAACCCATTCCTTCTCATAATATGTCCCAGCCAGTTAGCTTTCCTTCGTGTAATCGCCTGCAGAATGCTTCTTTGCTCGTTGACTCTCCTCAATACTTCTACGTTGGTCACTCGATCCGTCCACCTGATCTGCTCTATTCTTCTCCAACACCACATTTCAAAACTCTCCACGTATTTCTGTTCCTTCTTCCTGAGTGTCCAAGTCTCTGCTCCATACAGCGCGACACTCCATACGTAACACTTCACTAGTTTCTTCTTCATCTCCAAGCCCAACTTGCTAGAGAGAAGTATCCTCTTCTTGACGAAAGCTGCCTTGGCCATGGCTATCCTCGCTTTTACTTCCTTGGTGCATAGGGCGTCCGTAATCATCAAACTCAAGAATGAAATCAGTCACTTTCAGGTCTTATTTTTATACAGTTCCTTCAGAACTTGCAACTACATGTGTCAGATGGCCAAAACTTTTGTGACCACATGCTTATTAAAATGCACCCTTTAATAAATCATTGTTTCTCTTTTATGCAGTTTCCACCAAGACTTAAAGTACAATGCTTGAAACCTCATCAGTGGGCACGAGTACCTAATCAATCTCTGCAAGTGCATGCCCTGAAGCTGTCAGACATTCGTGGTTGGAGTATGCTGTGTGAAGACGCTGTGTCCGTGTTGGCACTTCACATTCCAGAAGAAGACAGACGCATCGATATTTTGGAATTAATTGAGATGGAACGATTGCTGAGGTAACTGTGAACACCTCGTGACAGACGATAAATATTCATGATACAGGACACACACAATCTTCCTTTCTGTTCACATTCGATACTATGACAGATAAAGGACTTCATGGCATGGAGAAAGGAAACCTGTGATTATGTAATGATTCCAAAACCATGCCTAGATGTTAACTACAGCAATGGAACCAACGATTTCTTTTGTCAACACTGCATCTCAATACACTCATCTTAGCTCTGGTGCTTTGTATTTAAACTCTTTGAGCAAGGCAGCTAAAGTCAGTATAGTGACTGACTACAGGCTGAATGATCAAGATTTAATTCCTAACAGGGACTCTGCATTGAGACTATCCGTGGGTCCCACCCGGCTTTCTGTCCAATGGGTACCAGGGGTCGTTTCCCCAGGAGTAAGGCTCGGCCAGGTCGTGACACTGACTACTTGCCTCCGTCTAGTGCCTGAGTTGAGAATGAGTGGGAGCTACTTGAATTGAGCAATCTGAAAGCTGGCTAATTAAAAAAAAAAGACTGCTTTATCTTTCACAATCCACAATTTAGCAGTGAATGTGGTGTCATTAATTTTAGAGCCTGTTACTGCAGTTGAAGGAACTTACGCACTGGAGATGATATTCTGGAAAGTTTACAGAATGGATGAAATATTAAAGCCCCTTGCAGCATAATTGATTATGGGATGATCACTTTTCAAATTATAACCTGTACCTCAAGGAAAAACTTAATAGTCCGCCCAGTGTAACCCAGAAATCTGTAGCAAATAAGAGTCTTATTTGGCTAGAGAGCTCATTGCAGTTTCATTTTAAAGGTGACAGGATTACAGTTTCCTATGTAGAGAATCTGAGTATAAATATTGTAGTGTACTTGTTTCCAAAATATTTGCTTTAGCTAATTAATACCACTGGAATATAATAGAATTTCCTGCAAGGCTTTTGTCTAATTATTCTATTTGTCTTACAGTTTTCATTCCCACACTCTCACTTTGTACGCCGCGCTCTGCTACCAGTCCAATTATCGTGCAGCTCATGCCCTCTGTCTCCATGTGGACCAGAAACAACTATTATATGCCATTTGCTCAGAGTATATGTCGGGGCCCTTGCGACAGGGTTTCTATGATCTGCTTCACTTGGAATCACGTGCTCCGACGATGCGAGTAGTTCTTCCTGCTTTGCTCATCCTAATACTTATACAATATTAGTACCGTAATTAAATTTATAATTTTAAACTGTATTTTATAATAGTTTACGTAAACAGATTCTTCTCGTCGTTATTCAGATTATACATTTTTAAAGTGTTGCGTAAGGTTTTTACGCATGCTTGTCTTAAATTCATTGACTCCCATTCTGCTGTAATTAAAATGAATTTTAATTCTCATCTGTAAATTTTATATCAGTTCTGACATGGTGCTTTATCCTCCTTATGCTTTTTGTTCATACATGTTACGTATTTTTACATACTTCAGACCTACAAATCATCTTCAAATATTTACGACAAAAAATCTGAACACAAGATGGAAGAGGAGGCACAGACCCCACAGCAGTAGAATCTTACTTCTGTAGTTTGACTTTGAAGACATTTTGTTGTGTTAAGTGTGCAAATAGGAATTAGAAGCAGCACAGCACATAATTATAAAACATAACTTTGCTAATCTGTTAACAAGAAGTTAAGTATGACTTTGAATTATAAGGTATTCAGGAAAAAAAAAACATGCAACAGGTAAAGTTGATTCAACACAATGTGGCTACAAAACACATCATGTAGGATATAAAAGATGACATTCACTGAATGAGGGTGTGCGCCATTCCACTGCCAACTTGCATAGTGCGCATTGTTTACTTGACTGCAAACTCCTGACATTTCCACATCCGGTGGTACCGCGTTTCAGTGATCCTACTACTTGTTCCGTAGTGGCACGCGTTTCAAACTGTTGCACATTTTTCTAATACCCTGTAAATGAAAGCAGTGAGGATTTCAACTGAACTATGCCTATGGGCTTTCAGAATGAACAGAATTGGCATTCACTGACTGCTTATTCAGTAAATGTGTTCTTCTGCAGTTGTCAAACTATTGTGTTTTTCCATAGCAGTCTTGTGTTTCCATATGATTTTTATTTTGTCAGTGTCGATTCTTAAAAAATTTGTGTTCATCTGTTTGGCCTAATTTGATTGTACATTCATAAGTTACTGTAGTATATGTTAATTAAATTTGAGTTTGGTAATCATCTGAAGTAATGATTTTGTCTTTCAGGGAGGTTTGTAAAAATGAATATATCATTCCGTTGGGTCCAGAGTTAAAAGAATTATATGAAGATCCTACAATGGACCATAGTCTATGCTGCCTAAAAACAGAATCAGTAAGACCGCAGATGAATATGACAGACATTGCGTAAGTACATTTTTAAATTATTGTAAGAAGAATAGAAATATTATTAGAATTCTGTTTTGCTAATAAAAGGTTGTTAAACTTGTTTAATGTAAGAGTGTATTAATTATTGACATACACATTTTGAAGTTATCTAATTATTTGTTGTAGTAGATCTAGGAACATTATTGAATGCAACATCTGTTTTTTAAAACTTTGTATTTTTCTTCTTACAGTGAGACAGTTGACAACATCAAGAGTTTGTACAGCCCCTACTTCCCTCTTGACGTGGTAAAGAATTTTGTAATGACAGCTCTAGATGAGGCTGTTCAGATCAATCAAGTACACAACAGGGATCCCATTGGAGGCAGTAATGAGAACCTATTCCTGTAAGTACAACTCTTTTTGTTGTGTTGTACTCTGTGAAAAAGGAGAAAATATGTACACACACGTGCACGTAAAAACTTTATAATGCTGAATCAGGATTACATTTTTTTTTATATTGGGAAGTTTTATTAAAATTTGTTGTCATTTTCCAATTTTGGTTACAATTGCATTATATTAATGGACACTTTACTGAAAGATATCCATGCATTTCTGCACATGAAAATGACTGGGTTGGGAACCCCCAGTCTACCTTCCTGATTTGAATTTATTGAAGTCTGTGATGTGATTGGTTCTTATTCTC